CTAGGGCCACACACACACTAGCACTTCTTTTTAATTCTCCCGTCACGAACAGAATTGTACGCAGCTTTTGACTGCAAAAGCATCCCGGAGTCCTGACACATTGACAATAGACAGGGCGAGGCAAACTTTGAGACATCTAGGGCCACACACACACAGACCTAAGTATTCTCGCACCATGGACGGGCCTAGCTCAGTTGTGACACCAATGAACTGTTGAAACACAGACCTGAGATGGGATCCCAATCAACCCAGACAAGGAAATCACTATGAATTTACCTGGGGCTGGTCAGTTCGAAGACCGCATCTCAAAGCCATCGCCCCTTTTATATATATGAATATTCTCGCAGACTCGCACCCAAACTTGTGGGAAGAGTCCAGACCTGCAGAACTGACGCATTCTTTCTCTCCGATTAACGTCCTTTCAGACTAACCCGGCCAGGGCAGCCTGTCGTGCCATCTCCGGTGGCAGCAGGAAGAGGCAGTTTCCACTTTCCCTCCCATCCAATCAGCTCCGTTTCCGCTGACAATCGGTGAGGGTATGTGGGCTCACTCCATAAGAAGAACATAGCAGTCGGAACGAGCGATTGACAGGAATTGATATAGAGAGAGCGGCAGTCACCGGCATGAAACCTTGCGACAGGAAAGATGTACAGGGACAGCACACACATTGCTTACGACATTAACTTTGTCAAGTACCTGCTCGGGACATTTGTCAGAATCAAAACAATACAGGCAAAAACTAGCCTGGGCCCTGTGCAAGTAAGTACTCGACGCACTAATCAAGAACTCGTTAAACAATATCTACATGTATTTAATATTTATAGAGTGTCAGGGTAGTCATGCCGACAGTCGGCGCCCCTGGATTGGCGGCGGGCCGACAAACCAACCATTCCGCACTGGTCGGCACCTACCAGTCAGCGGGCGGTCGGTACCCCGCACTGAAAAAAAAAGAGGGTCCAGAACCCCCAATAACCCCACCAACACCCCCATATGTCCATACTATACCCCCTATATCACCCCTATACCTGTCTCTTATACACATCTAGATGTGTATAAGA